GTATTCTGTGGCAAGCCACATCTCTGCGGTTGTTATTCTTACTTTTAATGTTTATTTATAATATTTTTGTGTTGTTGTTGGTAGTTGTCTGTGTAGGCTGCAGCTTAAAGTGTTATTACTTTTAATACTTTCATTGAGCTAACGGGGCTTCCTCAAGCAACCAGCCTTAATTAGTCTGCTCGCCATTTATGCTTCAAACAAACTACAAARATTGTTTTGCTATTGAGGCTTTGTTTAGCATAAAGTGTTTAACGATAATTTCATTTGCATTTCAGTGCAAAATTTGTGGTATTCAAAAGTTTTGAATTATATTTATTTTAGTTTTGATTTTATGAAAGTTTAGTCGATAAGCTTTATATTTCGTATAAACGTCAYATTTAGCAAACATTTCTGGCATTTTAATAAAATAATACAAAACAAGTAAGGAAGATTTAAGTTTGACTATGTATAACGGAACATTTCATACCTTCGCAACTTGCAAGGATTACAGCAAAGTAGATATACCTTGAGGTATATAAGGCCAGTTAGGTATGTGGGGTCTAAGGCGAGTTTTCTGCCGATTTTTTTTTTACGCAGAAATCTGCGCCATAAGAAAAACACGCTCTCATAATTTTATAAAAAATCACTCATATATTGGCCGATATATACAGTATAAAGTCACCAGAAAGTTCAAAAATCTTTATATTAGGTAAGCCCCATATTTACGGAGTGTGTTGACTTTATTCAATATATTTATAACACTCCTTCATGCTACTATCAGTACAGGATCTTCTCTGAATTCCAGTTATGAATCTGACAGATTGACCAGTATTTTCGGCAAAAAGTCAACTACAGTTACAGGTCCAAATATTAGGTTCATAGGGGTTTGAACTGTTTCTGTTGGATATGAACAATTTTCAAAATGCAGCAGTCCAGACAAAAATTTCAAGTAGATATTATTAAAGAGAAATAATAAAAAATATTTATTACATTCCATTTGCTTTATGATTTGTTGAGGTAATTCGTCGAGCTATCCTTAGTTGCCGTTCTTATGATAAATGGTTCTTATTTTAAATAATCATTCATTTACCACCATAATAATTGGATGAGAAAAAGTAAAAAACTGATTTTCTAAATTTTCAGTACCAACTCATACTTAGATATGTATACGATTTTCTGCAAGCTTCATTAAAATGATCTACTAAATGGGATTAAGTTAATATTTGATGCCGTTGATAGCTATTCCAACTCTGGCTTTTTTTATCCTGATCTTTTATATGTATATAGTTATGCATAACAATTGCTGACAAGATGATGGCATTAAAAGTGGTTTTCTGTTGTAATATTTTCTATCTACAAATAGGCCATTAATGCGCTATTCACCGAATTTAGTCACACTCACTGAAATTATTTCTGGTAAGTGAAACATATAATAATAACGCAGTGACGTAAAACCAGATGTGCATCTTCAACTTTATTTAATATTTACATTAAATCTACTAAATGATGGGGAATCGAATTACTTCGCCACCGCGTTTTGCTTTATATCCTTTGTAAAATTTGAGTGTTCTAAAATTATGGCACTTTATGAAGCTTTGCGTAATAAAGTTTAATGGTACGATACCACATATTTGCTTTCAACAATTACAAAACTTCAACAAGATCGGCAGAGAAACAAATAGTCCCCCGGAAAAGTGATTTTTTCCTATCATCTGGGGTTTTCTCTTGTTTTTTTTTAATTATTTTATTCTGTGTGCCRTAATCTGTAAGATATAGTTGATATTTTTCTGTTCAGTATTGTAGAATTTCAACAGGAAAATAATGCTGACAAATTGTAGATGTTAAGGAAATATGAATTTTTTGAAGAAATCTCCTGTTATTTAGTAGAATGAAAATTTAAAGTTGTCGTTAAACGAGTTATTTGCTGCAAAACTATATAGAGGAGCTTGAAAATCACAATAAAATACGTTTATACCTTAAATAATATTAAATGAAAAAAATTCTGAAGGAAAAGCTAAACAATYTAATAGGTCTGTCAAGAACATAATATTCACCTCAAATAACCCGTTGACCTCAAAACGCTGTTTTCAGACTCGGCGAAGACAATTTATCCATAACGGTTAAATTGTAATAAGTTCCACGATCATTCGTGGAATTTTCCGTCATAATAAATAATTAAAATCGTTCTTACCTCCAGATCAGAATAAGGAGAGCAATAGTTCCAGATGGAAACTTAGTCTGTTTAAAATTTGAAAAAGAGCTATTTTTATAAGTAGTTGAAACACAAAACCTTTTGAACAGACTTTGGTTATTTAAAAAAAAACTAATAAATGAGTTTTACAACATAAACATCTTAAGGGGTCATATAGAGTTAGAATTGTCAAAAAATTAATKWATTTATTTTATTTTCTTAATATATCACTCCGGTGTATATTTTCGAAGCTGCACGTAAATTTGAAAAGGCGTTTCAGAGTGCTTGGAAGTACAARGGTATAAAACGYGTTTTTCTCAAAATGGTTTTTTCAAAGTTGGTGACTATCATTGCTCGAAAACGGCTAAARCTWTTGRTKATTTTAAYMCGRGCTTCWTAAATATATTTTTTAGTCGTCATTTTGTCAAACAAATAACTATTTTGTTTAATACTTTGATTAATTAAGAGATGTGTCAATTCTTTAACGAAATTGGTTTGGCTTTTTAWTTTGAGAGTATCCAGTTCAGAGATATAATGGTYRCCGCAAAACGTCTGTTTTGAGAGGAGCTCMCGGAGATCAACTATACTTTCTTTCTAAATAAATATTTTTACTAATACTAAGCCTTGAAATAMAATTAAAAGACACCATAATATGAGTACAAATTTTTAGGTCAACGAATTTAAAAGTTTTCTCASAAAAAGCACTTATATTGCATCGCTATTTTTATAAACTTCCAAAATGTACAGTATGGGAAATAAAAAACAAAATCACAATATCCCACAAAGAGAAAAAACTATTTTTTATAGTGCTAAAAATTTTATATTTAAGGCGTTGATTTCTGCAATTTGATAAACAAAAACTRTTCATGTTAATGTGGTGAAATCTGATTTGAAAATACGATACTTTTTCGTGAACCTCAGCTTTTCAGTACGTCTGAATTCCTAATGGGTTTTAGGGTTTAATTAAGTTAAATGTTTAATATTGTTTCTGGAGGCATAAGTAGCACTTTTTAAAACAATTTTAGTCTTTGAGTTTAAATTTTTTCGACAAGCATAGAATATTATTTAATAACAAAGCAAAAGAGAACAAATATAATATAAAAATCCATATCTTGATCAAATAATCAATTCCAAAAATTTCCAACCACTTATTGAACTTTGAAATTTGTTACTTTGTTGACTAACGGTTTATGTATGTAAATCAAACCTAGTGTAAGAGCTTATCTTCGTTAATTGTGAAAATGTTGTTATAAAGTAATTATATTTAAGCGTCGGATAGGTTTCATCCCGCGGCGAGGGTTCTGGTTTTATATTTTTATATTTTTATTGCATTGTTTCCMAGGAAATTAAGCACTCATCTCAAGTTATGTTTGAACTTTTACTCAACACTGTAGCTTTAAAAAGCATATATCCAGGGGTCGATTCTCAGCTACCGCCCCACAAATTTTTTCGCCAAATCGGTTTAGCCACTTTGAGTTAGAAATATATAGAACATTCTACAGGACCAAAAGAACAACTGCGACATTTTTTACGTATTTTCATGCTGATGGACTTTATGGGGTCACATAACGAAATATCGTTTAATTTTTTGTAAAAGATACCAATAAAATTTTGGTTTTCAACGTTATGTTTTCGGTACGTTATATTTAACTTATAACTTTATACGAGCGTATGAAACCTTTAAATATATGTAAACTAATTATTAATTATTTTTTATTGAAACTATTTTGATCTATCTTCATTTAAATATCCCTGGAAGCTTATATGCTATATGTTCTTATACTAAGCTCTCCTAGTGTGGAGTTTTTAGCAGTTAGATATTTTTTGTATTATTAAAATAATTTATTACAGAACTCTTGAAGTACTTTATCTACWAGTTCTAGAACCTAAACAATTTTGGGTTCTTAAGACTGCAAGCTACAAAATATTGATCCTATTTCCTAGAGTTTCAAATAAATTATGTATTTATGTCCACGCTTAAGAGTGTAATATTTTTGACTCAGTCGTAAATAAATATGCAACATTTTATTCTCGACTAAAGTCGGACATGCAACAAAAGCGAAACACATTTTTTGCTCTATAAAAATTACATAATATAAAAAGCAAACTTGTCGCCATGCAATCGATGCTTAAATTGCATTTATCATCGCTTATCTAGAGTATGTGACATATTAATGCCAGCAAACGAAATAATTTGTAAAATTTATTGCAGGAAACACAAAGTTGGCACTGGCAAATGCATGTACATATGTAGCGACATATATTTATATATTATGCATTTATGCAATGAATTGAATAAATAATAGTGTAATGAATCATTTGATTGGCTGGCGAACAGAAAAACAAAACAAATAACAAAAAAAACAAAAAAAAAACAAAACAGCAATGCGAAAACGACAAGACAAATTACGTTAAATGGACGCTGTGCCGCAATAAAGTAGCAAAGTCTAAAAGGCAAGATTTTAAGTAAATAGTTTGGGAAATGATGTTATATGGAGGCTCAAAAGTTTAACCTGAAAAAGTTATAAAACAAAATTTGGATTTCTGAAACCGCTTTTGTTGCCTGCTACACAGTTTAGCTACCGATAAGTAACTGAAAATGTAAGAAACGCACCTTCAAGCAGATCAGCCAACAGCAGTGACTGACTGCAGCTCTCCAGACCCCCATCCAACCGCAGCCAACCATTGGCCGCAACTGCTGCATATAATTTTCAAAACACTCAACAGCGAAAATCAGCAAAAAATAACTGCCTTGTTGGCTGTCGCCGTCACTTAAGACAATACACCACCCGCAACCCGCGCCAATTTACAACAAATGTGCTGCACTCACCTGGTTTGTTGCTGTTATTATTGCCGGCTGAGATTTGTTGCTGTTGCTGCGTCTGCTGCGATTGCTGCTGATTCGGTGGCAGCTGTTGCTGTTGTGACTGCGGATGCTGACCGTTATGCTGTAGATGCGACTGCTGGCCGACGCCACCAGCACCATTTGCCGCAACAGCAGCCGGATGTATGGCGAGCAGTTTCGTTTCCGGTGGCTTATGTGGTCCCATTGTAATCGGCGGCGGCGCYCCCATCGCTATGGTGGGAGCTGGCATCATCAGTGTTGACATGGCCAGCATAATTTGCGAATGAATTTTGCCGGTTGCTACTCGAAAACTATTAAAACAACTGCTATTGCTGCTGCTGCTGCTGCTGCTGTTGTTGCTGCTTTACTCTGGCAGCGTCAACTACTTAGATAGCTGGGTTAGTAGTCGTTCGCTCGCTTGGCGACAACTGGGCGCCCGTTTGCTTGACACTATTAAAAACAAGAGTGGACGTTGCTGCTTAGTTGATGTGGTGCGGTGCGGTGTTGAAGGCCACTCTCTGGCTGGCTTGCTGAGTGGACGACTGGTTTTGGCGCGCCTGGACGTTTGGTTTCCGAAGCAATTCAAATATTTTGCTGCTRCTGCTACTTTTGCACTTAAAACTGCTGCACGGGTACACCACTCACCCGTTGCATGTGTGTGTTTGTGACTTTAATATGTGCACCAAGTGTGTGTATTATCTTTATATGTATGTATGYGTGCGTGGTTGCACTTGTACTTTTCCACTTATTGATTTATCTTTAGTGAGAGTGTCAACAAACGGCGTCGGCGGCTCCGTCGCTCGTGCAACACCAGCTTGCAAGGTAAATCTGTTGCTAAAATGCTGCTGCTACTTCTTCTGCACACACACAACGTCTCTGCAGCGTTTGCAACCGGCTTAGTTGTGGGCGTCTACGGCTGCTGTCCTTTGCTTTTGGCTGTCTGAACTTCGTTTAAGGTCGTCGTACGTTAATTTATAGCACTTTGAGCGTAAAAGCTGCTGTCGTCTGCTGCCGCCACTGCTCGAACTGTCGCACCAACACCTCACTTTCTTACACTTACTGCTTTTCTATTGTTTTTTTGCCTGACTTTTCGTTTGCCGAGCGTCTGCGACGTTAGATTTATAATGACAATTTTACCAATATTTTTCCGTCTGTGTGTATGTGTGCGTGTGTGTCRTTTGCGATTCTTTCTCGACCCGTTTTACATTCGCATACAATARAATTTCACTTTTCTTTCGGTTTTCAATTGCTGCCTGACGCTGGCTGTGGCATGTATCTTGACTTGCAACGACCGTGGCGCATACAGTTATTCGTTCCTACTTGCACTCGTTAGCTTGGCTTTTATGGCACACATGTACATACGTGTATATRCTTCAAGTGTGTAGACTAATATATATTTAGTTTTTATGTGTGTGTGTGTGTTAGCTTTTCCGCCGTATTTTCTAGGTTGCTTGTTGCCTTAGCTAGCACTGCATCTGCCTTCCTACGCTTTTCGCTTATTCGCTTAGGTTTCTCACTCACTTTCTCGCACAAGCACTGTGTATGCACTCACAACTGCTATTTTTCTACATATATATATATAACGGGGGCAACAACATTGACGCGTTTTATATGGTCATTCAACCGGAAGGAAGCTGTAGTTCGCAATGTTACGTATACGCACCGCCTCCACCAAATGCAACAAATATTTATATACGCGTTGCTCGCTTTTTATTTTTATTAAATTTTATAAGTTTACAGTGGTTATATACGAAAATGAAATTTCTCTACACTGCTTTTGAAATTTTTCTTATTATTATTTTTCTTTAAAAATACAAAAAACCGTCTGCCAACTGCAAACGCGCCGCGTACACTTTCTAGTATTTTTTTCCCTGTGCTATAAATCGTAACACCACGTCATCACCATCAGCTGTCACTAATCACTGTGAGCACTCGGCGCGTGTTAATGTGAAATACCGGAGCGTTCGCGTTGTTGGCCGGTCAGCCGCTGCTGCTGTTATGGCGGMTTTTATGAAACTTACTGGCTTTTAATTTGTCTGTTGCGCTCGCTTTCAATGCAGCGTGTATTCTGCTGTGTAAAACAATATACATATATAATATAAATATAAACTTGACTTGAGCGTAATGTAGAAGCGCAAACACTTTCGAATACTGGTCTGGGAAGTTTGCGCATAATTTAATTGCCACTTTTGATTAGTGTGCAGACAAAAAAGTTTAGTTTAAAATTAGTTTGACAGCCATATTTTTAGGGGCATTAAGTGCATAGTTTTAGGCGCGTCACTCTTAATTGACTTCTTTATGGAAATTAAATAAATTTTTTTTGTATATAGAACCATGTAGTGAAATAAAAAAAATTAATAAAATTAAATTAAAATTTTAAAAATCTTAGAAATTTGATAAAAAAGTACTGACTTTAATTACAAACACGTAATGCCCAAATGCATGTAGTTTTAATTTTTTTGGTGTTTGTAAGTATATTTATATTGAAAAAAGTTGATATCTATCAGCTATAAGCCAAAGCAAAATAAATTAAGGTTAATTTAAAAAAAAAAAATTGCTTGAGTACGAATTTGTGTAAAAAAATGTACAGGAACTATATTTAATTTAAAAATGCTTGGATATTTTTATGTATTTTTTGTAATGAAAGATGTGTGCTGGATAAAAAAAATTATTTTTGTGAATTATTGTGAAATTTAGTTTATTGACAGTACAGTAGAGGTATGAAAAAAACTTGAGTAACAGCATGTGAACTCAACTGACGCTCTYTAACTTTTTAATATATTTCAAAAATGTTCAAAAATTTTCAATATGTGGGCTTAGACTTATTTTTTAATCAATAAAACATCAGTTATTTTTAAAAATTCAACAAAAAAGATCTAATCAGAAAATTATTTATTAGAAATTGTTTTCAAATAGACTCCAAACTTTGATACATTGTTGAGAGAATACGAAAAGACGAGACAATTAATAATGGAACTTGAAAAAAAATATGTTTTTAGAATTTTTGAAATATAGTTGAAACTCTCGAAATTTATTTTCAATTCCTGTGGGAAAAATACAATGTATAAAACTGCGATTAAGATGATCAATTTGTTGTGGTTTTAGTAACTCGGATTTAGATTTCCAATTTAATTTCATAGCTTTATTCAAGACCTGAAAGTTATTAAAATTATCAAAAATGTATATATTACATACACTTAAATTCCTCAACTAATTTATATTTAATTATTATATACCCTTTCATAGTAAAACAAATCAGAAACATGAACAAACAGAATTTTGTCACAATAGATAGGATATTTTTATAAAATAGAAATTATTTAATTTAGGTATATACTTTACGGAAAACCCTTGTGATAATGCCTTAACTAATTC